GGCATCATTTTCAGCTGTGCGGGACACTAGCGTCATCAGGCCTACAATTTTTGAAGAAAAAAAATAAGAAAGTATTGTTTGCATCTCTGCACCACAAAAAGCGCATTTATAGTCACTGTAATCAGCTTCAAGCCTCGGTCGCATCGTGTTAACCTTGATCCGTCACCTCTCGCTGCCCTACTTTTGAATTGAATAGATGTATTGGCCACTATATAAAAGCAAGACGAAGTTTTCTCATGATTGATTTTATATGAAGTTTGGAAAGATAAAGATTTAAAAACTTAGTTGTTTGTAATTTGACAACTGATTACGTCATCCTCAACCATGTAGGCTTACCTTAGGACTTGGGTTGATGTTTACACCAACATGTTAGTTCATATTCTGTGTACCATGCTGAATATAGGATCAGATAATTGTAGTCCCGAAGAAAACAGAGGGCGCAAAACATGGAATTGTATGAATTCAAAAGGATGATTGGCTTGAGCCCAATCAGCTTAAAGCAGAAAGATGGACCATTTCAAATGGGGTTAGCGGGTTAGCGTACGGCTCTTTCCTTGCTTTCTACCAGTGAGGCCCGGGTTCGAGTGGCTTGGCCCAGGCTTTAAGTGCATTTGGTTTCCAGTCTATACTCGCTCTCGCGTTTTTTCCCGGGTACTCCGGTTTCCTCCTGCCTCTAAAACTGGACCTTCTTCCTACCTCCGTAATGTGATGCTGATTAATAAAGGTTATGAATAAACGTATAGTTGTTGGCGCAAATAGCCGGAGTAGTCGAAAGCACCATTAGAACAAAACAGCACTACAACTTAACCCAGTTGGTGATAGCGTGGAGCACCCTCAGTTTTCCAATGACACGCCTCAAAAATCAGCGAAGTCATCAAACTAGAAATCGACATGGACCGATCACCTAGTGTTTGTAACTTAAACAAACACGTCTTTTGTAAGTATCAAAGGGCACCAAATAGAGCATAAAATGAGTATGAGGTCGCAGACACAAAGACTGCAGTAAATACGGTAGTGCATTGTGGTGTGGTTTTCAAATTCGTATACTGGCATTGAGGGATGCAGTGGCCATGCCTTAATTCTGACTATGTGAACGGCTGTGCCAGTATCAGATTGGATGATCTTCAGTGCGGAAAATGGCTGAATTGGTAAGATATAATCGATATTTTACGTCAAGTGGGAGCACTTTGCTATAGGATCTACCATAGTACATCATAGTCTATTTGCCTACCAGACTGTTCGGTCGCATTAGTGAACTTTCGCGTGTTCTCTCTTCTGGTTCCTTCTAACCTCGTATGTTCAGCATCTGAGAGTAGGAAAGATGCTGTTCCAATGTATCAGACAATTAAATGAATAAATGTAAAAAGAAGGGATCTCCATCACTTTATTCTTGCGCGACTCCTCATCTCGGACTGAACCCATCAGTCAGTGCCCCTATTCAATAAAACGCTTCTATTGCTGAAAAATTCAACCATTTTAAAGCCACACCATAGAATGAAGACAATAAAGTTTACGAGTACAGGTACCGCAAAAGCAGCAATAACACTAGAGCGTACACTGGATATTAACGTTAATAGTTCATCTTCATCAATACATCGTTCTTCAGTTTGAGTATTCATTCCAATTACTTCTACAGGATTTTTCTGGAGGCTTTATTAAAATCTCGGCTAGAAACAGTGAACAAACAGTCCCGTGATCGCTGATTTGTTCACACACAGCACTTTTAGTAAACTTTGATATAATGCTGGATATTGCTAACTGGCTGGGATTTGCCGACATGACCTAAATTATTCCCAGCATAAGCAGAACGAGGGCTTTCCTTTCATCACTTTTATAGAAATACCTTGGAAATACCCCCAGTCGTAGATGGTTTGTCAGTTTGCTGAGGAGCGCTTCGCTGTAAAAACAACGCTTAGATTTTTGACACGTATATAAACACATTGTTTGTACCCACTTTTTTTTACATGTTTAAGCACGACATGTTTAGTGTTATGCGTTTAGGAATGTGTTGAAATACTAAGCGGATTTCAAAAAGTAAACATGTACTACCGAAAAGTATTGAGCGTTTAAACACATTCCTAAACACATTTTAATAAACATGTCATTGGGTGAACGTGTGGACGAAGTGGGTACAGAGAGTGTTTAAACTCTAAACTTCATTTTTGTCCCCCTTGCTGAAGCCCATAGTAAATGTTTATCTAAATTTCTGTTATACCGCATTCGTCTTTGATAAACAGTCATACAGAGTCACGGTTTACTCCTTATTTTAGCTTGAGAACGAAAAGATTAGCTGAGTTGGTTGTGGGCTTATGGATGTTCAAAGCTCCCAATAGCGGTCAAATCGAGAAAAAATGAGACGGCGCACAATGAACTTCGCTTTAGTGTCTATGTTCAAGTCAAATTTGACGGACTCAGTTTGGATTTTATCAATATAAGTTTTAAATCATGTTAAAGCATTTTAACTAGTCTTTTATACGCTGAAAGAACGAAATTAATACCCCGACGGTTGAGAAGATGTGAATTAAATTACTCTAAAAGCTGTTTTTTTCCCTTAGTTTTCAGACTGTATTGCACAGTGACTGTGGTTGTTCCCAGAGTTGTTCCTTATGTTGTGGCTACGAATTCACATGATCCCCAAATAAATGTGATTTTCGTTTTCATTCAAAAAACAAATAGCAATCTGACATTATTTTCACTCATAACCTCAGCTTCGTGTTTGTAGAAATATTCGGAGATACTGTTGTGATTAGAAATTTAACATTAACTTGGACTGACAGAGTTAAATTTGATTTAAAGAGATTGTGCCGGTTTCTAGAGACTATTCTTTTTCCGTTAGACTGTCAGCCAGCATATCCTCTTTATCCCAGTGATATTCTGATTGATTAGCTATAGGACTGGCTGTCAGAAAACGATTATTAATCTTAAAAAGGCTTCCAGTCCAAGTTTATATACTTTCAATCATATTACCACACCATCCAACCTATCCAAAAAACGAATGCTATAGTATAAAAAAGGGCCATACATCGGAAATTGACGCCTTCCACCGTTAAAGGAGTTATCAGATCAATATTTTGCTTCCTCTCCCCGCAAAATGTGCCCCGCCCCTCATGGAAAACTCCGGGCCACGTAAACTCTACAGATTATGTCAAAATAAAATATTATTCGTAACTTTCGAACTTGTTACAGAGCTCAAGACTTAAGAAAGGGATTAGTTGCAATTCACCAGAATTTCACTTTGTGTAAGCCACCGTGTGCCAGAAGCAAAGAAATACATGCACATATCTCGCCTCATAAGAGGACGCTGCACGTTAGCTAGGGCACTTCATTAACAAGTGGAATTAGCAACCAATAAAATGAAATTATTTGACACGTTGCTTCACAGGATTGGTTGACAATAAGCCAATAATTTTACACATAAACTTATGATGGAAATTAACTATAGTTAAACAAGTCAAACGGTTCCCTCCAAAATATGTACATAGCTTTCAAGTCACTGATGCAGCCATTAGCATAGAAGAAACCTGCAGCTATGAAATTTCCAAAAGCTAATTTAGAAGAAGCGGTCCCTTAAAGGTCTCTTTAAAGGGGAAACTGTCCTAGAGACTGTAAAGCCTGATTTCCATATCGACGTAAGAAACGCAGAGATCAACGCATTCAAGACGCAGACTGCAACGCGGATATATGGAAATATGCCAAACGGAGGTGTCGCTGACAAGACAAACGCAAATAACCTGCGACCGAACGAAAATGTTGAGCCAGGTTCAACTTTGCCGACTGGTAGCCGTGTTATCCCCATATAAACACGCATGCTGGCATGACTGGTGCGCAACAAAGTCCCTCTTTCTTAGTTCCACGAATTTTGCCCATTTTCTCCTTAATACTTAAACGTCATACCCTCATGATCAACTAAATAGATCACCATTTACGAAATGCACGAAAGTGGAGTACAGGTTTGATACAGTCAATCTAAAAGGGTATTTTCCGAAAAAATTACAAAGAGTTTGGTCGCCATTTCGTTTCAATTTTTGAGTGGAAGTGTCGTCATGTACCGTCTCTTCTGTTCATGTCTGCGTCTTCGTGTCTTGCGAACCGCCTGCGTTACAAATGACCATATGGAAACCAGGCTTAATATGAATGTGACTGGTCAACGCGGGATGAATGATCTCCCAAACCCACTTCTGAAAAGCCACTACCAGCTCACTGACATTCTAGGTTAAGGTTCAAGAATTTTTTTCTGGTAAGCTTTCAAGTTCCATTTTTAAAGCCGGTTTATTCTGAATCTTTAAAGCAATTCAGTGAATAAGAGGTTGGCTTGATTTCGCAGGTACACTTCTGCCATAAGGCTGACTGAACAATCCCACAAAGCATTGCAAATGTTGAGGGTTATTAGAATGCAGTTAACCGCTTCGAATTACGTGTCCACGGTTCGAATTTATAAGCTCGTGCGTAATTCAAGCCACAGACAAGAGCACAGCGTCCTATTAAAGCTTGGAAGCCTTACAGTGATGGTAACAGGCTCGTGGAAAAGTGGTGCGCGTATGCCTCTTCGATCAATGTGGTTCGTAAGTGACTTCGTCACAAAGGCAGACGCGACACGATTTGCAGGCTCTCATTGGACAATCGTTGAAGTTGCGCGTTAACTTCCGGTTCCATGGCACCATGTAAGTACTTAGTGTATTTTAATGCAAGAGAGCCGAAGCAATTTCTATTGTATACGTATGCATATAAATAGATAGCAATCAATCAATCAATCAATCAATCAATCAATCAATCAATCAATCAATCGAAACGACGACCAATGCATGTAACCCTATGTGCAATGCACGTGTGCAGTGGGCGTGATTTAAACTGAAGTGACGTTACACTTACGAACTGGATAGACCTTTTTCCTGTGATGTCACAATCGTGCTGGCCCGCCATGTGTTGTGATGGTAATGAGCGGGGAGTATTGCGATGGTAATCTACTTATTCAAGATAAAGTAGTCAAGCATGCAGTGTTCGCACATGCGCCTGCACTTGCATGGTTGAAGCTGCGCGTAGGAATTATGCGATCGCCGTGGCCAATGCGGTCCACACGTGGTGGTACTGTACTGTAGTTTAGCGTTATCCAGTCACGTGGGTCAAAAAGGCCTTTAGGTGCTGCGACTTGCGAACAGTGTGCAGGCATCTGAAGCTTCAGAACGCGTACGTTTAACACGTTTGTTCGGTCCTAATAGACTGTGCGTGCATTTAGTTTGTATATTAGCGCATGAGCAATAGTGGCATGTGGTCGTCGGCCTGAAAAGTTATTCGAGCAGACGACGCATATCGGTGGTGACCCGTGTGACAGATTTGTTCTGCCTCTTCCCTAAAAGACCTCATGTGTGAATAAATTGCCAAGAATCTTTCAAATGGTGATACTTAACAGCTTCTTGTAAGAAAGATATCTGAAAAAAGAGGTGGAACATGTCAAAATTACAACAAAGGATAACTGTGAAAAAATTATCGTTTTTTACCAACGTTGTGTCTCATTTTCACAAATTTTTCCGGGTTTACCTTCAAGTAACTTTGCTGCCACATGAAAGACTAGTAACTCTTTTGAAGAAAAAAGTTCATTCTTGGTAGAAAACCTTTTTTTTTATTTATTTACCTTTTCCACTGGGACCCATTTTCCGTATTTTTCACCTTTTCACATTTCTGTCGAATTCCCCTCCGATCATCGGCGATACTGTCAGATTACAAAGGTTTAAACAAGTGCAGTCCAGTTTTACAGTGTTTCAAATAAATGTCTTTTCACAATTTTTGTTCTGCAGAGACTGCACTTCTTGCCTGTTATAGGTGTCGTTCTTCTTGGAGTGGACCTTCTTCTTAGTCTTTGGATATTGAATTCGATGACGACAGGACCTCCAAAGCCCGTTTCTAGGGCAAAAAACATCAGTTCTTCCACCAAAAGAAAATGTTCACGCGTTATTCCACTGGCGGCAAAGGACACCAAGTCTGCTGGAATGGATGATTTGATGACAACCATCGGAGAGCCACGTAGTTACAAGATCCAGGTTTACGACACTCGAAAACACTTGACGAAAAAAACTAACACCTTTAGACGCATCCTGCAGCATTCAAAGGGTGGCCCAAATCCCCGAGCTGACGTCCAGTGTGGCAATAACTGCACCATTGAGATTACTATTGCTGACGATAAAAATAACTTCACAGGAATGGACGCTGTCCTCTTTCATTTTTACATGGAGTTAGTTCCACTTCATATACCCCCTGCAGACATGAACCCTGAACAGACGTGGGTGTATTGCTCGTGGGAACCACCGCACAGAACCGCCGCACCGATCGGTCACCAACCAAAACTAACGGGCTTAGCAGCCAACGTTGAGTGGACCTACCATCGAGCATCCGATATCACGACTCCATTCGGATTCTACCGGCCCGGGATACCCACGGTAAATAGAACAAAGACGGCCGATGAATGGCTACAAGGAAAGACAAAGTTGGCCATCTGGATTGGAAGCAATTGCAAAACTACAGCCTGGCCAAGACTACGCTTTGTCCGAAAGCTCAAGAATTACATCCAAATCGACATGTACGGAGGGTGTGGAAAGCTCAAATGCCTACCAAGAATGTCGCCCAAATGCGCTGTGGACCTGGTGCGAAAGTACAAGTTCTATTTAGCCTTGGAGAACTCTGAATGCGAAGAGTACATCACAGAGAAAGTTTGGGACAAAACTCTCCTTCGAGGAGTTGTTCCCGTCGTTTATGGTGCCAGACGGAGAGACTATGAAGTGTTGCTCCCTCCCAATTCATTTATTTACATTGGGGACTATAAGAATATCAAAGAACTGGCGGATTACTTGAAACTGTTGGACGCTCGCCCCGACTTGTATGCCAAGTACTTCGAATGGCAATACAGTGGGACCGCCGTTACAACTGAAATATTTTACGGGATTTTCGACCTGACAAGGTTTTGCCATCTTGTGCCGATCATTGAAAGAGTTCGGAGAGGCGAGTTGAAACGAACACAAGTTTTGTCGCGAGATTATGTTCAAACGTGTCGACAGAAGTCACTCTCCAATGTGGAAATCTTGGATACGTGGTAACTAAGAACACCGAGTTGAGATTAGGTCGAAACATAAGCAAAGGCTCCTCAATTTATTTCAATCCGACGTTATCACAAAATGCAAGTAAACGTAGTGAAAATAAAACGTGGGGCCGAGGCAGGAGATCTCTCTCTCCCTTCGGCAACGCGTTGGATTCTAAACTATGGTTGATCATCAATACAAAAGCGAAAGAACGGTTCACAGAGTACATTTCGTTTGAAGTATATCCAAACACAACATAAATATTACTACTACCCACTAAATTTAAAGATAATATGGCCCTGTTAAAAGGGTGGAAGGAAATACCGATGGAACCCAACACCAGCCACATGTTCACATGTTACATTATTTGTCTAACTCAAAAATATCGGTCCAAGTATGTATAATAATATGAGCCTCGTGCTGAACCACGAGAGGGCGCAATTTTCCTAGCAACGCAGGCTCCATTGGTCGGAACTGCCCTTCGCTGGTTCACAAACGACTATGAAATGCACGCGTTACGGTCCTATCGCTACCAACAAAATGAGCACTCTTGATACCAGCATGGCTCTTTTCAACCAATTATTAGGGGGTGCTTCTGTTCAAGGAGGATAGACCTTACGAAGAACGACAGAATTTCAGTCCTTTTAGTTGTAAGCAACCGAATTCTGCGCTCTGCAACTTAATTTGATTACTTACTGCCCCACAATGTGGTAATGGGAATTTCTTGCTTACATAGCCTGGTGGGACTAGTGTCACTGTCTAGAGAAATGAGCAGGTTAGGATGTGGTGCAGCGCCAAAATGAAGACGACCATTCCTGTACATGCCGTCGTAAGAAAGAAAGTACGTAGAGCACTGTCTTGTTTTCGTTTCTTGCGTTCTCTTAGTCAATAGCCACATTACTTTCTTCTTTCGTTGGATTTCTTAACGTAATGCGATCTTTGCATCAGTGAGCCCTGACCAGTGGCTGTGGCCAACGGCAATTTAGTCTTGCGGAACTAGGTTCTGGTGAGGAAATTTTTAGACATCTTTCAGATGTAATTTTGACTGTTTCAAAGCAAGAATGGATCAATTGCAATGAATGTTTCTATCTTATTTTTGTTGACTAGTTTTTGTACTACTAGTCGGAGTATTCCATGTAAAATTGTCAAATCGCAGTTTAATTAGGAGCTTTATGCGCCTTTTTATCTTTATTTCATACTTATAAGTAAATTGCAACTTAAATTGGCAATTTGGCAGTGTAGCCTTTTAGGATCGTGAACTTATGTGACAAGGTCACATACCTGTATACTTCAGCTCTCAATAGGTTTTCTGGCACAATAGGTTTTCTGCATGGTTTGTATGAGAGACTACAAGGATTTTCTCGTGCGTGTTCAGTCTTGTTTATTTATCCTCGGCGTTTCTTTGTTGCGTGTTTTCATAAGTAGTAGCCCATGCAACTAGCCTGAGGTCGTTGCAGGTTGATCTCCGATACAAAAACTATTTCCTCTAAAGACTAATCGCTGATTTTTTCCTTGCATTTACTGGGCACATTCTGATTAGCTTCCTCGGGTATACACCGAATTTCCGATGAGGCAGACAGTTGATGCCTCGAGGCGAAATGCTCCAAGGCACAAAATTATCAGGTTTTTAAATTACACTTCAAATTGAAGCTTATATTCGTCATCTTTTTGGTGGGTTTGCCAAATGGATTTTGAGGTATTTCCAGCCACTGGGTTAACCATAACTTTCCTGTGGGAGATTATTTTATTGCCAGTCTTGAGAGTATATGAGTCCTCAAGCCTCGTGGAAGCTTCGTTTCTCGAGGTATTGGGCGTTATATACTTTCTTTTGAAAAACAGCAAAAAACAATCAACCGGAGACCTTTGCCCCGAGCAGCGCGTTGTGTGAAAGAAATAAAAAAAAAATTGCGGGCCTCGTGAAACCCGAGGCCAATACCCGAGGCACACACAATGATGGCTAAGGCCAAAAAAAGTCTTCAGTTTCAGGTCAGCAGGCGTGTCGCCGTAGACTTGCGCATAGACGAAATAAAAAAAATGTTATTTGGTATAATACGATGCCCAATAGCTACCAAACTTGCTTGATCAACTTGAATCCTGCTACTGCGTAATGTTAACGTGTTTTAAATGATTAATATGTACAGAAAAAGGAGTCCCTCTGGGCCCCATACATTTAGTCGGGCAATCTTTTTCAGATGACGTCATTTTTGCATTATACATTTACATCTGGGAACCAGACAAACGAGGTGGATGTCCCGCGTAAACGCTTATAAATTTTTAAACAGTACATAGTAATGGAACTAGTCTATTCAAGTGTTGGTGGCGGCGGAACCTACGTACAAGCACATGTGCGTGTATCAATTTCTAGGAAAAAAGTGAGGGCAAAAAAAAAAAAAAGAATTGAAAAAAAGCAGCGTCGCTGCCCCTCTTTGGGGCCAGTCCCTGACCAGAAACCGGAGACCTTTTTGGCCTATGCAAAGTTTTCTATTTCTGACCGTGATTTCGCAATAAAGGAAAGAAATGATATCAGTCATACATTTGGTGTTTTCGATATTACGTGTATATTATTCATTATTGTGGGAGAAGTATCACGCCCACTCTCCTATCAAAAAAAAATTTGCCTGTTCAGTTCTGGTTTTATTTACATCTGATGAGATACTGTGTATTGGCGGTAAAATATTGCAACGGTAACTTCATTTATAACGTAATTCAGGATGAAGGCGGCAGAATGAATTTATTACCCTGGTAACGGACTGCTCCGCTCCATGGACCCTCAGTTGTCTTACAGCCTCAACTAATCGAATGCATCCAATGACTGGGTTTTGCTTCGAGACTAAAACCTGGACGCAGGGGCGTCGCTAGAGGGGGTGTCGGGGGTGTCACACCCCCATTGGTTAGTTTTGTCGGCAAAATCATGGTCTGTCTGCAAACTAAAAAAAGCCAGGTAGATGTCTGGCTAGGGGATCAGACTACAGTACACGTGTCAGTTTGTCGGTTAATTTTACGTGGCATCCCCTATTAAAAATGGTCTAGCGACACCCGTGGATGGACGACATAGGTGCCGTCTTTGGAGGCCCAAAATTTGCTCTGACCGCCTTGCAATAAAACTAAGATGAACAAACTTCTCATGTAAGCAGGTCATCTCCCGGCATGTCAAGTCAACCGATAACTTAGCCTTACATATACCAGCAATGACCTAGCCAGTCATCGTGATCGTAACATCGGCTTCATTAGGCTGAATTAAAGGGCATAATCACACTGGGAGAGCAATTTCACATATCCAAACATATGGCCTAGTAAAAAAGGAAACTGAGATAAACTTGTTTCTTTAACGTGAGTGATTATTTTTGTACAAAGTAACCATTATCTGTTTCATTATTCTCTTTCGTAACACACAAAGAAATCCAAAGTGCCGCCACAGATGAACGAGCACGAAGTCAGGAATGGCTTTGCACCAAATAACTATTTTCGTGTTAAATTCATACTGTCTAGACAGCTTTTTGTCAGAATTATGTAATGTTTGCTGGGATCTCCAAAGCATGATACCCAAAAGCGATAAGAACAGAGAAGGAAGTATACGTTGGAAGAAATGGGGGTTATGTCGAAGGACACTGGGTTATAGGCTGCAGGAAGAATGAGCTCCTGCAGTGTAGGGGAGGGTGGTGCAGGTTGGTCATCGGGGCAACTGGCCCACTCTTAAGCCAAAAGCAATTAAAAGGTTTAGAAATTGAGCAGTTGCGTTTAAACAACAATATTCATATTTATCAGAGGTCAAGCTGAACATAAATTGAGGCCCATGGGAGAAATATAAATTAAACTTGAAAAATAAACTTCAAATCATGACTTAGGATAATAAATATGCCAAAACCAAACAAATTCATGTTTTGCTTAATATTACAAAAACAGAAATTGCATGACTGGAGGAAAGATGCAGGAATTTATAATTACTTTGTTTTATTTAACTCTGATGCTTCTGACATAATTACGATTGCCAATTTCAGTGTGTTATTATCAATTTACCCATTCCAACATTCATTTCGTACTCTTTTGGTGTCACGTTTTAAAGTTTTATGATGTGGTCCACTTGCCCCGGGTGTGGGGCTGGTGATCCACTTTAGGTGAATTTTTAATGAGTTAATATTCATAAATTTTATTAATGTAATTGAATTCAACTGTTTGCAATAAACAAACAAGTGCTTTGGTCATGTTTTAAGAACAATTTTATCATTTTCCTGGATTATGGAATATCATGGTTAGAATCAGGAATATGCTTAAGTGGTCCAGTCGCCTCAACTTCTCCTACGTACTGCTCTTCGATTTTTTATTCATTTCTGGCACGGTCCATTAAACCGCGCTCAGTCATGTATAATGGATACGTGGATTCTTCATTACTATTATTATTATTATTTATTTATTCGGCCATTCAGAACAGATACTGGTGGGACAATATTCAACAAACATAAAAATCAATGGACTTAACAAAAGGACATCACAAATAACAAGAATAACCCACTCCAAGTTGGCCAGGATTGACAAAAGTATACTGTGACGCCGCGCCCCTCCGACGAAGGCGAGGGCGCCCTCCTCCTCAAGACGCTGCGCGTCGGACGGCACGCCGGAGAGTCCCCCAAGAAAGTTGGTCTTCGTCGAGATGATGGCTAATCTGATTGGTGGAAACTGAATGACGTAACCCGGACAGACCTGACTTGAAATATACTTCACCTGAACACCTGACTTATATACAACAATTAATAAGTGGCTGGCTTATTCATCAACACGTTGAATCTCGGTTTCCTTTTTTAAGGCACAGTGTATATACAATATACCACCACTCGTCCAGCAACGACACTTACACTAACCGGTCTTTAGTGCAAACTGCGTACGGGTGTATGTGTTGCGTGTAATCCCAAATACAGAGCTGGGTTTAACACTTAAGTGTATAATTCGTCAAAATGCTGGTATTTTTGTTCACAAAAATTTTGGATTTAAAATTTAGGCACATTTTAGGGGGAATCTGCCATCGATACAGTCACTGCCGAATCTACTGGGGGGGGTTGTATTTAAACAAACATTCACAGACTGCTTCATCTCCAGAAAGAAATTAGAAAATAAAATTTTAAGTCGAATTTTCAATTTATCAAATGTAAATTTAACATTTTTGTGAAGTGGAATACTTTGTCAAATGCTGGCAAAAAAAAAATAGAACGCTCCATGCTTCTCTTCTGAACGCTTTTTACTATATCACTCCAAGAAGTCAATATAGTGTAATACCTTCATAGAACGCGAGGTTCCATCAGGGATAGACATGCTGAGCAATTCTGTATCGACCCTCTCATCCCCTACGGTTGTTCTAAAACCATGCAAGGCGGTCGCTATAGCAGCGAGGAATGTTTCTACGCCGCGAAATTGGCGTCACGTTTTGTATAGATTTTCATACTGTTCGTTGAGTGGTTTCAATGAGGACGTTTCTTGACCAACCTGTAGCAAGGAAGAAAATGTTACTTATTTTGGCATTAGCCAATACATTTGTTTCCATGCAGTTGCATGCTTATAATGCACGTACCCCTACAAACCACAGGTACACGCCTGACCAAATGTGCGGGTTTGTTGACTACTTTTTGAAAAGTCCAATCCTCAATCAATCAATCGTAAAGACACAGAGACACTGCTTCAGTCTGTGTCTTGAACATCCAGACTGCAAGTCTACAAACTACTTCTGGAAGACACATGAGTGTGTCTTAAACAACGTATCACATTTTGGCGGTACCCAGGCACTGGAGATGATATCTGGAAGTTTCTATGCATTCACCAAATCAAGGGTGAGTAAATAAAATCGTTTTCTTCACTTACTTGCAAATGTATGAACAGAAGCTACGCATCATGTCACCCTAAATCGTTTGACCACTCATACATGCGAGTGGATTTGTTGTAGTCCAAAGCACTAACATCTTCAATATCCACACATAAAGGGTGTTAAACTTACACCGCAGTGTTTGCCGTGCACACTTTATAAGATCAGAAGTTGTGGAATTTTTTTTTACTCATACAGTGATAGTCAACAAACCGCAAGCTGTTGCTGAAAAGCTTAGGCGATGAGTCTGGAAACTGATGCTATTAGAACCAAATCAACACGTAAGACATGTAAGCGTACATGCAAAAAACACACATAAAGAGTAGGCTGGAATGTCATTATCAATTTATTTTGGCTATTCAATCAGTTTTTTCGTATACGTTGATAATCAGGGCTATGTGAGCTTCCAAAATGTGGCCATGCAGAAAGCTTTAGAATCGGTAGAATACAGTTAATAGGCATGCAACTAATTTATCGGAAAGGTCTCAACGAAATTGGGAAATTGGATAACTCTGAATTGCCCCAAAGTGTTCCAACGGCTCGTGCCTGAATTGATTAACTCTAGAGGCATGAAATGGCCGTGTACAGGCGCCAGGTGGTTCGTAATTGGCTGTTTATGATAAATCAAAGACACAAAAACTGTTTCGGGGGGGGGGGTGTTTTTTGGTCATTAGTACAAAAGGAATGACTATCCAAGATTAATATCGATCACATAGCTGTTGGCATAACAATTGCGTCACTCTTGTCTCTTGTGTATTAAAATCTCTGTTTTTTGGCTCGATGAAAACTTCAAAACGGATGTGTATAATTATAAATAAAATTTGTCATGCTGGCTTTGATCAGATGTATAATATTTGCATTGTCCTGGGTTATCTCAAGTGTTGGCTCACACATTCTTTACAAGCCGTAATGATCATTGTAATACTCTCTTGTACAGTAAAGAACACTGTGATCACGAGAAAGCCTCAGCTGGTTGTGAATCAAGATATCACCATATGTACATGTATTACTCAACCGAAATTTACAATGCACCCGGTTAAATATCTGATTTATATGATTCTCCTGTTTGTTTGTAAGTGTTTTCGAAATCTGTCAATGAGATCCCAACGACTTACATTTAAAGTCTTATTCAACTGAGTTTGTTCTCATTATTCTCTTAAACCATCACTCCAGGTAGAGTTAAAGGTGCCAACTTGTAAGACTTCTAACAAAAAAGAAGTTATGCAGTTTGCCCTTTCAGTTCCACGATTCCAAATTGCTGTGGTTTCAATATAGACTTAAAGAATCTTGGCTGTTTATTCTTATTTGCTTAAAACTTTAAGAGAGATAATGACTTGTGGTTTTTTTTTTTGTCAAGCTGAAAATAAAACCTCGATGCATCTCTTTTGTACTTGTGAGTTTTCATACTTCTTTTTGGAACCAGAACAGCAACTGGCTTAAAAAATACCCTGAACATTGATATGCTTTTGGATAACAAATTAATTATCCTTTTCAGAATATCTAATAATTCCAGGAATATACTTAATTGAATTCTTTTGTTTTGCCGCTTCCATATTAATAAGATGAAAATAACTAACGGAGATTCTGTTAAATGTATTACTAAGTGGGGCCTTTTCGCTTTTCCGTGTAATTTATTAATGTCTAGTGTGAATTGACGGTGTATTGATTTCTTTTTTTAAACCCAATTTAATACACAAGATAAACAAGGCCCTGGGGGAAAAACAAGTTTCGGGGAAAGCATTTATGGAGGTTCGTCCTCCGTTGGTCTCATTGAAATGTCAGGAAACTCTGTGCAGTTTAATGAGTAAAATAGGCACCGAATGACATTCTTATGGTTGATGGTTTCGACTTCTGTCCGGGAAATTATCTATGATTAAAATGATATTATCTAATACATTTTTAGAATAAGTATAGTTTGGGCGGAAATTTTAAGGTTAATTGTATTGTTATGCGGATGGAAAAACATTGTAAGTTTCCGTGTGGGAATTGTTGTTGTTATTGTTAATGTTATCGTCCACCTTTGAGTAAGGTACTTTTAATTTGAAACTGAAATATATTCAAGGAAATGCCATCAATTCGTCGTGTATAATCTTACACTTATTACCTCTTATGATCTTGATGAAATTCAAACCTGTACCTTCGTCCTTTATGGCAATTGTAATTAGTTATCGCAGAAAACAAACTCGTAAATTACGACGACTCTTGATCAGTGATCTAATTATTTTGTATCTGTGAACAAACAGCCTGAATGCAGTATGGGACCAACCACGGAGAAGACTCAGGCAATATGGATTGAACAAGGTACGATAACCATGCTTTACAATGTGTGCGTACTTAATCTCGTGATACACACACCTTCGATCCTTAGATTTTTTTCTATCAACATGTCCAAGCATTCGTTTGGACTAGTGAGCAAGAAGTCGTGGGTTCGATTCGCACCCAAGTACGCTTGAGGTTTTTTCACATGCCTTTAAGGGCAAACGCTGGGTATACAGTTTCATACAACACGGCGGGAAGGGCAAAGAAATTCAAAATTAATTAAGATCTCCCCGGTGTAAATCCATCCTAAGAAATAGCTGTTCGTGGTACCCGCTGCTACATCTAACTCGAGCCAACCAGCCGAGACCAGCAAGCTCGGTGGTTTAGTGGTTTAGACGTCTGCACTAGTAAGCAAGAAATCGTGGGTTTGAGTCCCACCTAAGTACGCTTGTGGTCTTTTTACAAGCCTCTGGGGGACACTGTGAGTAATATGTGTTATAAAATCGTCAGGAAGGGCAAAAGATAAGAAATCCATTCGTCTGACCTGTGAATGTGAACATTCTATTCAGTGAAAAGAGTCAGATCCCCAGATCCTCTATAGACTTGAGAGTGGGAGATTTTAACAAATTATTAGGTATCAGTCCCGTTTTAATTAAACACTGTACGCCTGATTTCAATTCTTTGGCAATTCATTGTTGTGTAAGCAAATTGCAATTAGAAAGCAAGCAAACCTTTCTGGGAAAACATATTTTCAGTCAGGAAATTATGAATCCGATCAGAAACCCCATATAGCGGGTTTATCAAAAAAGGAAACCCAACTTTAAGTGGTTACTATGGCAAAGCCACACACTTTCCAGCGGAAAACTTGGAATCATCTAAAAGTAATGAACAAATGCTTTCTAATGATGCCTCATTTAAGATTTTACCGTTAAGCATCACTGAGCACAAATGTGTTGAAATGTAGGTGCATAATTGGGGATGGTTCACTCTGACATGGGACAAAATTGACAATGAATCATTCCCCCCTCTAATCTAATAAATTAAAATCCCATGTAGCTACAACAAAGCACAAGATAGTGTTACATGTAATACGAAACACTAACGTAGCCTACATTTTGAAGGAAATAAAGGTAAAACAAAACAACAATCAAGATGTAATTTCTCTCCAAACTTTGGCAGCCCGCAAATTGAGGCAAAATGGGAGTGATCTGTGGACGAGTAATCTAGTTCGCATGGTCGTTGCGATACGGGAGAGTCTTGATTACGTCATTTCAGTTGTTCTCAATTTGTGAAAACCATAATCTAATCTAATACCCGCAATGCCCTCGATTAATTTATGACACTGTTGGTGGTGCGGTGTCTCACTCTGTGTGCCACTGCTTATGTATAAGTAGACGTTTGTTGTTAATATTACGCATGCAGAATTGTCATTGGTTGGAAGGTCGAGCCAACTGAGCCCATTCTTCAGACTTTCATATGGCCCTGAACGAGCCAACGACGGCCACGTTAATACACTCATGACCAGCGAGCCCTACTGTGCTCACACAGGTGGGTGTCAGACCGATTTTGCCCCCTTATTACTTTAACAAAGGCGCTTCAAGCTATTAGATTAATTTACCGAAAATAGAGATGAGGAATGTGAGAGTATATTCGATTCTGGCCCAAAGCAACACTCGCTTTACTGGGTACTACAATACAAGTTTACTGCATCAACATCAAAAATGAAAAAAGGAGAAAGATCTGTGTCTTCCCTTGATGTGCAAAAAATGTTATTGGGAGGTACATAACACCTCCAGAGAGTGATCGTACATGATACATCAAAAGTGATTTTTTTTATTCGAACACTGTTGAGATGTCGCCCAACATCCTTGGTGGCGTGTTAACTTGGGAGGAGACCACTGTTTGGGACGCATCACCATTGTCACCAGAGGTGACTGTTGTGGTAAGTGATACGTCAACTTCAGTAGGCCTAACTCGGTTTTTAAATCTCTATTTAATCGAGTGTCTGATGTGTTGCTTAGTGTTGTGAGCATGATTAAGACTTCAGAAAGGAAGAATTTAGTACAAACCTAAATGTACGTCATCACATATTGCACAGGGGATTTTTGACTTCAAGTTTACGAGATCGGTTGCTTTTTGAATACACAATTTATAACTTCATTTTGCAGATTTTTGATGTTTTCAATTGACTCTTTTGATGAAAAGTGAGAACAGTCAATTAGAGGATCTTGTAATTTGTCTTGGGCGAAACCCACAGACTACATGGTATTCAAAAAGTGTGAGTGATGCACACGAAGTATGCACCTGCCGGGGAACAAAGCTTTTTCCCTTTATAAAGAGTTATTTTCACAGTCAAGAGTAATCGGCAAAGTTACCTTAGAGAAGTGTGTTTTCAACGGTCAAATTGAACATCTTGTAATTTTTTCTTGTACAAAACCCCATGGACTACATGGCGTTCTAAGGAACACAAAATGCACCTAGTGAGTAGTGTGCCTATTGGACCATGTATCACCAAAATACATGAAAAAATGATTTAGCGGGAAAATGACTGCATTCGTATGTGTGTACATCCAGTCCGTATATGAGTCCATGAGGTGCTTGCACGGTCACCGTGATCGCAGTTTCACGTTAGTTTCTGGTCACTACTACAGGTAGCGGAGAGGAAATTATTCCGGTAGCTGGAAAATCAGGAGATATAAGGTCTAGAAATCGTAGAGTTTGTTCAGAAAAATAGGCCTCGCTCCCTAGTACCGAAAGAGCAGCGATGTTAGCTAAACATGCACAGCCGACAAGTTTGGACTATGATAGTTAGATGTCAGTATTTTTTTGCATTAAAAATGTCTCTTTTCGTGGATAAATGTTAACTTTGAACTGATCCATATTCTATTTTACCTCAAACCTTACATTTAGTTTCCTCTTCGTTCAGTTTATACCTGGAGGTAATTCTTCTGGTGAATTTCGCCAAAGTAATCTAGCTGCTTTTAGTATTAACAATTTACATAAAGTCCTACAACTGCTTGCGTAAATTGGCGCCAATTAACGGATGTGGCATAGAGTGATGAACATAAACGATGATCAGCCAAACATAGTTACAAAAACAGAAGACATTTTTTGTTAACTTGAAAACAGTTGTATCCTGGGCGGAAATGTTTTAAAGATTGTCCAATGAATGTAATGCACTTTTCTTGTATCCAAGGATTATTCGGCAGTTCCATTTTTTTGTGATTTGAATAATTGTGTAACCAACATGTATATATCAACTGCACAATGTATCACATCATATAGTAGGCATATGCGTCCACGACCACTCATAACTCGAAAGCTTATGTCTTTTACAGTTGGTTACGGTACCATGACGTCTGTACATTTAGGAATGATCACTTTTTCGCATTTTTGCAGAGAATCGCTTGATTGGAGCAACAGTTCGCGTGGGTCTCAACTCTGAAGTCACCCGTAACATGATATGTGGCTCAGCAGTCACTAAATCTCAGGCCCAACCGGGGGCATGGATTGAGTTTGTTTGTGACCCTCCTACTTTGGCTCGTTATGTCAGTGTAGATGCTAACTATGGGGCTGGTACTGACTCCCTTGAAATCTGTGAAGTCATGGTCAAGGAATATGTTCAAGAAAAGTAGCAATGAGAATTCGGTTTATGACTTAAATGCTTTGATGAAACTATTCTCAAAATAAAGTTAAATGCTAGCATGAAATTTTTGGACTGTTGTGTACTCGAGCTCGACTAGAGTCACAATTTTTGGCGACTCGACTCGAGTTCCTCATTAGAAGACCCAACTCGAGTGAAAGTTACTAAGACTCAAGTCCAAAACATAAAAGCAAACTTCTTTGCTGAAAATATCTGCATTGACTTACAGTGCCGGTTTATAATTAATATTTATGCGATGTGTAACGATCATCAAGAGTAAGATTTCATGTGATCACAATGCATGTAGAAACCCCGAGGTAAATTTTTACAATGCCCCCAAAGATTTTTCTTTCTGGTATTTCTAGGTTTTGTTCAAATATTGGTGACTCGACATAACTCGAGCTATAAATTACTTAACTTGACTTTTTTCGTTAATGACTTGACTCGAAGTACTACGTTAAAATGACTCGAGGAAGCTGGAGTGACTAAGTTACAATAACTCGAGTCAAATAAACATTAGTGATGACTCGTTAAAACCCTTAGCTTCCCAATTTCATGGTGTTGCTAAGCACACCGTTTTACGCCGACAGAGGCTCCAAGTATTTCATTGAGACTTTAAGCAGCAAAAGGTAAACTTATCTTGGATAGGAAATTCGCTGAACGTTGTGTAAAAACAATGGAAATTTCTACGCGTGCGCAACCGTAAGTACAACCACACCGAGCACCACCGTTAAACAGTATTGGTGAAATTTTCTCCTGAAGTAAACATGAAGTCTCAACTTAAGGTTAAGCAGCGCCATGAAATTCGGCCCAGGAGTACGGTAAGTGTTTAAACAAGGAATAATTTAACGCCCTTCTCCTCATGGCTATCTAAAACCCACTTTTAAATAGGGTACAAGACACAAAGTTGCTAAGACTTTTAACGGGTTAAAGATAAAGTTATTCTTCTTTCAGTGTTGTTATTAATATACATTCATCTCGGTTGTAAAGTGTCCTTTTCTTGTTTTTCACCTTTGTTGAGAACATGTACTGTAGTTTTACCTCCCAATGAGACGTTTTGCTCTCTGAACAAAGAGGCAAGCAAGTGGGATGAGATATTTTCAAAAAAGTCAAACTCAAACTTCATCGATATTTCATCATCACATGGAATTTCAACTTGCAAATGTTCTACGTAATTCTTAAACTAATACAAATATTCCCTACAGATGGGGCTTACTGGAAATTGAAAGAATTTGATCTATATGTAGACAAAGATGTTCAAATCGAAGTCCCTATTCTTAAAATGTTAATCTTACTCTCTTTCCATTATGAATGCGAAAATGGCAAAATGAGGCCATTGGTAAGTACAGTTTCGACGGTAAATCTTTGCACTACGCTTTACTTTTAAGAAATTCGATCCTGTAGGGCCACATTTGGTTCTAAATACGGCCGTTGTGCAAGAAAAACATGAAATGTAACTTCACCTACATTGTCTGCACTTTAGCAAAAGCCACACCTGAAACCTTTCCCTCTATTATCTACATCTGTTATCGCCTAAACTATTTGTCCCTTTGGATTAAAGTTCACAAACTTAGAAGTAGACGAATTGTATGTCAGCACTGAATGATTATTGTCAAATAAATCTGAAAAAAGAAACAGATATAAGGCCATACTGAGTGCTGGAAGAGTTTGTTCGCCAAGTGTAATTTCAGAAAATAACTTTAACAACAAATGGAGTGAGCCAGCTTGGTATTCCGACAGTGCGTGCCCCCCCCCATTAAGTGCATAAAAAAGTTATTTGGGTAAAAACAGCAACAGGCACGTGTGGGGAGCTGTCCTATCAGAGCAGTGATATGCCGACTCACACGCGTGCTTTGTGATCAAATAACCTTGATAATTTTTGTAATAACGCACTGGCTCATACCTTGAGGAATGACTGGAAAGCAAATCTGTAACTTGCTGCTTCTCAGCTAATAATTTGGATGAAACAAAGAAAATCTTAGGCTGGATACATAAATCTCCAAAGAAATGCCACATTTCTAGCAGCTGGGTTAGATCCGCTGATCCTCTGAGCTGGAGCCATAAAGCTCGTTCAAGGTGTATTGTTTTATGTCGATGTCGTAGCCACGATTCCTTTTCTTGCATGTTTAATTTAAAATGTCATAAAGACAATTAAAATCATATTAACTCCCATGGTGTGTTGACTAAAAATCATACCATAGTCATATCACAATGTGTATCATGTAAATGTCACGTACTTTTACAAAGCCATCATCAAGCCTTTGTAATGTAATAGGCCATTGTATGCCTACTACTGACATCAGGCTTTGTCTATCCATAATGTTTTCCTATGGAACTTGGAATCCGTTGTACCCACCCACCCTTATGATTATGCAGTCCTTGTAATTTACGAATAATTCCCATAATTCTGTGGACCTTTCTTTGTGTGTTTTGTCGCATTTGTATTCTCAGAATCTTGTTTATCTTTGTGCGAGTTTGATTACCGATATTTATGAGCTTAACGTTGATATATGTAGGGCCAGACAATTTAATGTATACTCATCCCCCAGGTGAACTTTCCCCAGTGCCCTACATCGTAACCAGAATGACCCCTGTCAATTTAACAGTACCCTTCCCAAAATTACAGAATTCCCCCTCCCAGAGTGTGGTACATGCCAGGAGACTTTGGCACACAAGCAGCTAAGTTGAAACAGCCAAAATTTACCAATCCCAGCCCTGTCTTGGTGAGCTAATCTGCTGGAGCACTCTAATTACTTTTCATGTATTTGGCTAGAACATCAGTGATATTGGTATCATATAATTGTTCAATCTAGTAACTTAATTCATTCATACTCCAAGTGATGACTTCCAACTTTTCTGCAACTCATGTAGACTATTTTGGAGTGCATTTTTCTCTTACATTTTGAAACGTGATGCATAGTTACCACTTTCTTAACAAGTTGATAAATATTGTTAAGTTTCCGTTTTGAGTTTTGATGGTTGAGTAAAATAAATATAGTTCTGATTTTACTGTGAAGTCGGTGATGGTTTAGTTTTCAATTTGCTGCAGTACTCTTGTGTTTTGAGAGGGTTTTTTTTACAGAGAACGTTGATTGTTGTGTGAGTCTATCTCCGTGTTTATTTTTCCTTTTCCTTCCTATTGGCTTTTCTATGTGTTATTTGTAAAAGTAACCTTTATAATAGCTTGCAGTCGCTGCCGTTTGATTCAGACCAAATCACTGATTCCTCTGTTCGTGTACTGGGTACATCTTAATGAGTTTCCCCGGTTATGCATAGGATTTGAATATGCAGCACTTACAAAGTATGAAGTTGTAGACAATACCCGTGTATGACAAAGACAAAGTGGAAAGATTGCTGCTGCTGAACGTGATTTCGCGATCGGAGAAAAAGTTTCTAGTATGCATTTGGTGTTTATAAGTTCAACATGTATGACGCATTCTCATATTTGCTGTGAATTATTATGTCCACTTTTAATTTAAAAATACCCTTTATGAATTGTGATTATATTCATATAAAATGTGATACTTTATATTGACGAGATAAGATATGAAGTTGTCGACTTAGCTTGTAAAATGATCCAGGATGAACGTGAGCGATAACATTTATCGCCTCGGGGATTCACTGGTCCACTCCAGCATGGACTCTCGTATTGCCCTTAACATGCATCTACTGTTTGGATAGTAGATCGAGATCAGTGGTTGGACAACGCACGGCGGCATCTTTGGCGGCGCCAAATTTGCTTATGAATGCACTCCTTAAAGTCTCACTGGGAGAATTAAACTCTGACAGTCGGATACTTTGGAAGGACCCATAACTTCCTTTTCATGCCAGGGTTACTCGGTCAGAAATCTCTTTTAACCCACGATTTAGCTCCTGTTTAGGTATCCCTCGATACTATTCAAAACCTTAAAAATTCCCCCGTTCTGTTGCACGAGCCAATCCAGGAAGTCCCAAAATTTGAGCAATGAGGCCGCATGCAATCCAGTCAATGTGGGAAAAATTGACCAACTGCTAAGACGTCAAGGGTTGGTTGATTTTCCTTTGTTATCTATCTCTAAAATGGGTATGGGCCGAATGGACGAATGAATGACATAGGCCCTAACAGTCTTTACCTGAACTTGCTCTACGCTGCCCTCTTTGTTTTGAGTACACTGTCACCGACAAGAAGGAGACTGGCTGCAGTATGCGAGCTCTCAGTTGAAGTGCGCCCTTCACCCTCCGAAACCATTTCTTCCGAGTTTCAGCACTCCAGGTTAAAGTACCCAAAAATTTGTAGGAATCCTTGGCTTCATTACCAAACAGACTGGAATAAAATGGACAAACGTCTCATGTAAACAGGTAATTTCCTGGCATGTCCAGTCAGCTGATGACTCATGTATCAGTAGTGACTAGGCCAGTCATCGCGATCGCGACATCAACTTTATGAAGCAGACAGAAAGGACAGAAATACGCTGGGGAGAGCAAATCAAATATTGAATTATTCAGATATCTATAATGTACAAAATATGATCAAACTACAGTCAAACATAGATGATAAGAGCAATGTAAATACAAGGTCACATTTATAACAAGGACTGTTATCACAATTTAGGTCTTTGTTTTCCATTACTGTTAACAAAGGGTAATTATTAAAACAAAGTAATTTGTGAAGTCCCAAGGACCATGTTATAACTATGTTCCACTGTAATTACTCCCTGGAGACCGCCAATTCTGCAATAAACGACCTCAAGACTTTGTGGTAGAGACGATTCCGACTAAATTAAAATTATGCAATAGACTGATTCCTTTTCATAAACAGTCTCCAGACGTCTTCACGCTGACGAATGTAGGGACCTGTGGAAGGTAATGAACTGTAGAGGAATTCCTCCAGGTTCATCTTGAGGAAAATAAACATATAGCTGCAGCTGCGCCCATAATGCATCAAGAAAAGATGTGTAGTTTATGAAATATTCTTGAATACAATCTTGATATTCAACTGAGCATTCGACATTAATCGGTGGTATGAAGTTAATTTCCGAAAGATGTGATCATAAACATTTAGGGGGTTATTTAGAAACTAGAACACCGTATTAAATATGGACTAATCATAGAGTCAGTATTGTGAATCATACCGGAAAATAGTGACGTAAGCCTCAATTCCTCCTGTTGTGAGATTGTCTCTATCGTTGATATAAATCAATTTTTTATCACTTAGTGAAGTTGCTTATTTGTTAAACTTCACCTGAAACTGCTTTTCATTTCATCAAATTGTCATTACCAATCCGAAAGACATGCTCCGGTAAACACAAGCAGTCTAGTTATAGTTTCTTTGTTTTCTTACACCTTTTTTTCAGGACACAATGTTTAAGCCTTTCTGTGTACTCCAGCAGTGTCCACGCAATCCTTATGGAAGTCGATTGGAACCATCACATAGTGCTGTTTGTACTGACTTTGTTGAAGACAGTGCAGATACTTAAACTGTCTACAAGACAGTTATTATAGTGTCGTATTGCATAATAAAGGGCAGCTTTATCAAACACAATGAACAGGAGATTCGCAAAGGAGTGAACATGCACTGTTCAAGGACAACTGTTTTTTTTATTCATTCTTCATTCACGATAAGGGAATGTTTGCATAACCCAGGTCATGGTTTTGGCAAAGTACAACACGTTATACACGGTATACGCACCACTATACTAAGACAGAAACGACATACTACAGTACATTTTAAAACTACTACAAAACCATTATTACATAAAAAAATTAATCTACAAGCCTGAAATTGTATAGGGAAAAATAGTAAACTAGGTTAAGATATTACGTTTGAATTGTAGAAATCGGTAAAAGCTCACAAATTGATACTAAAACGGAGGCTGGGGTAGTGTAGAGGTGGACATAAAATGTTCCGTACTATAAGAAGGTTCCAAACAAAATAGACGGAGTTACGTAGTGAAAAGATGGACCTAAAACGAGGGCTGTAGCCGAATCTGTCGTCCAGAGCCGAGTCCTGGGCTCCACTCCACTACAAATGTATACATGGGGACTCGCGTTATAGAACAGACCGAGCCGCAGCTCTGTAAGTCCATTTCAGACAGGAGCTAAGACTTAAAATGTGGCAATTTTCCCAAACGCCATTATGTCGTGCGTTCGAGATGGTGAAGCTTGAGAGAAGGGAGATCCGACTAAAGCCCTCTTTAAGTTTTGAATTTGTCTCTTATTGGCCTGGGAGACAGACTGAAGACGTATTAACTCTTACACTGTTTTGTTGTAATCAACCCACGACTACCAATTTCAATTCAGTGGAGCTGGGCATTGTAGCCTTCTACAGTGAGGTCCTAAATTAAACACTTGTATTTCATTAACTTAGGCTCTTGAGCTTTGTTTGGTTCAAAAGAAATAATGAGTTCCGTAATTGTAACGAACTTAGTTTATGCTGCAAGACAACCATGTCAGGCTTTGGTAATCAAAATATTGGGGAGGATTGTACCGCCAGCTATTGCGTGGTCGGGAATATCTGAATAGACCACAGAAGAGTCCAATTTAGATTTCTAAGTCTGTATATATGTGACGCTAGGTATACTTGTCTTGCTCAAGGGACACATCCCTCTGGTCTTTGAATAAAGGATGGAGTAGCAAAGTGGATTGCAAGGCCAAGCCAGC